TGTGTGTGTGTGTGTGTGCGCATGTGTGTGTGTGTGTGTGTGTGTGTGTGTGTGTGTGTGTGTGTGAGAGTGTGTGTGTGTGCGCGCGCGCGTGCGTGTGAGTGCATGTGTGTGCGTGTGCGTTCTCATTGTCTCTCAGAAGCGCTGGAGGAGTTGAGTGTTTATCTTCATGTTTATGCATCAGATGATCTTCATATGTATCAGATTAGTCTCACGCTTCTGCTCTCTGGAATTGGTTTTGCTCAATCTGCTCTGCATACAGATGAGAGCTCATCATCAGTCAGATATCAGTAATTACACTGATGTTTGGTGGAGCTTGGAGTCGCAGGACGAGAGCTAGTTAATGTTGGACAGCAGCAGAGCCTGATAACAGAAACACAGACACACATTCACTCCGTCGGTTCTTCTGCTGGACACAGAACACACACACTGATGTTCATGCGCTCGTATCGTACTGAGATGACGAGTCCTTCTCTTCTGTGTGTTCGTAGCGTTCTTCATGGTGTTCAGGTGTCGAGAGGAGAACGCCGCTCTGAAAGAGTGTCTGACTCTGCAGTGAGTCTTCATTCATTCACACAAACCACTGCTTTTCTGATCAACTTTTTAGAGGAACAAGTCAGAATGGTCGAGTTCAGAGATGCCCAAACCATAAACATTTTGTAGCACATCATATCATTTCTAGCCTTTTTCTTTTGTTTATTTTTGCACTGAAATGGTTTGGTTTTAAGTATTTAAATATTTTAAAATCTAACACTTTTCCATTTTTAATTATTTATTTTTGCGTAACACATTTTAATATAATATAATATAATCCAGCATTTATTTCTGTCCCACAGCCCCCAGAGTTTGGGCACCTGTTGGTCCAGAGATCCTAAAAAAATGGCTGACAATAAGAATAAAGAATTTTTTTTAAATTATTTAAATAAAAATTTAGATTATTATATATAAATTATATTTTAAATAATTATAAAAATTATATATTATTATTATATAAAATTATTTTTCACATTTATTTGATTTAATACATTTTAAAATAATATAACTGGAAATAATATGTGATTTTTGATGTTTCTTATTATAAAGTTTGGGCTCCTCTGGTCTAGCTGGTGTATCCATTCACAATATTAGTGAATTTTATTAATAAGAAGAAAATAATAATTATTATGATTATTATTAAACAATATCTTAATGCATTTTTATGTCATGTAAATTATATATATATATATAAATGGGCATGTCTGGTCTTGTTGGTGTATCCATCTAGAAATCCTAAAAAAAGGTTTGAAAACATGGTTTATTTAATCAAAATCTTGATTTTATATCAAGTCAAAATGGTCTAGTTGGTTGATCCTAAAATTGCATTATGCTTCATTAATAAAAATATGTAATTAATAATGAAAATAATAAATTATACAAAACTGCTAGATTTTTTTTGTAACAAAATTATAAAGATATTTTCATGATGTTAACAATTTAAACGTTCATGATATTTGATACATATGTGACCCTGCAGCACAAAAGCAGTGTTAAGTCGCTGGGGGATATTTGTAGCAATAGCCAACAATACATTGTATGGGTCACAATTATACATTTCTCTTTTATGCCAAAAATCATTAGGATATTAAATAAAGATCATGTTCCATGAAGATATTTTGTAAATCTCCTACCGTAAATATATCAAAACTTAATGTTTGATTAGTAATATGCATTGCTAAGAACTTCATTTGAACAACTTTAAAGATGATTTTCTCAATATTTAGATTTTTTTGCACCCTCAGATTCCAGATTTTCAAATAGTTGTATCTCAGCCAAATATTGTCCGATCCTAACAAACCATACATCAATGGAAAGATTATTTATTCAGCTTTCAGCTGATGCATACACCTCAATTTCACAAAATTGACCCTCATGACTAGTTTTGTGCTCCAGGGTCACAGATATATATAAAAGAACAAAAAAGTGCCATGAAAATCAAGTTTGAAGATCATGTTTATTTGATAAATGTTGATGAAGCAGGAGTTTTTGTCATGTATTTTAGTGTGTGATCGTGCTCTGAATGGCGTTTCTTCTCTCAGTTATCAGGATCCTGTGTTCTTCGAGGAGTGCAGACAAGAGTAGCTCAGAGAGAACCGGGAATACGAACAGACGGGGATTCCAGCCAAGAACAGAAAGCAGAAGCTTCCCACCAGCACGTGATGAAGAACACTGCAGCGAGGATGAGGAGGAGGAGGAGGATGGTCCATGAAAGTCATTTCTGCTCGTTTTTGGAGACGCTGTCGTCTCTGATGGACGTTTTCTGTATCTGTTGCATTGCTGTGGTTTATATTCATGATTAGCTCTTATAAATCATCACTAGTCTAATAAGAATTCATAGAGAATGTTTCTGAATCACATCAGATGTGTATCGTCCCACCGACCCCCAGGACTTGCTGCCACAGAACCTGCTGTTTGTTTTAAAATCCATAGCTCCGAGTTATTCATGATGCTCGTGTTCGGATGATTTTCAATCAGTTTGTGCTTCAGATTCAGGAAGATGTTCAATCAGCACCTCCTGGAATGATTCAGTGTCTGTAATTGTTTGTAGCACTGTAGCAACATTTTTTTAAAATGCTAAATGTAATATAAATAACTGGTGATATTGTGTACTTTTAATAAAATATTTTAAATTATATATAACAAAAGGTTTGGGGTCAGTAATGTCTTTAGCTTTGTGCTTCACATTTCTTTAAACAGGACAGAACGCAGTTGGTATCAAGACAAAACATTTTACTGTGATCTGTGACAAACACTCGTCCGTCATTAAACACCGACTGCTTGTGTCTCTGTACATTATTAATGCCGTTTGTCTCAGATTTTGGCCATATATATATATATATTTTTTTTTTACAAACATCTTTGAAAGATTCATCAGTGCACGTTATTCTAAAGAAAAAGAAACATTACAATCATTCATCAACACAAAAGATTTAAAAGAAAGCCTTTCACAACCAGATCCATTGATTCCTGATGGATAAAATCGTATCTTCTTAATGAACACTCATCAGATTAGAGAAGTAAAATGGCATGTTTCATGTTGACTTTAAACAGGGCTTCAGTTTCTGATTCTTCGAGAATTGCAAGAATCTTAAATCTAGCAATTAAGGAGCCAAACACAACAAAATGAGGCAAATGAGGAGCTAAGCAAGGCATTTAAAGATGTGTTTTGCCAAAATGGCTAAAAAATCAAATGCACTCACTAGTAATATGATGCAATGGTTTATCGCTTTTGACCAATAGGTGGCGCTGTTGTCAGATTGATGTGGTGAGGTCAGTGTGAGGTGACAAATACACACATACAGTTTGGTGTCAATATGTCAAAGCTTTGCAGAGATACAGCCTCAGATGCAGTATGGCAGCGTGTATGCGGTCATCAAATTTGTTGATGCGTTAAACAAAAACCATTTTGTCTATCGACACAAAATTCATAACTTTTTGTCGGCATGGTCTGAAGATGATCCGAGTCAAATTTGGTAAAAATCGGACCAATGGTCCAGGAGGAGTTAGGCTATTAGCATTTTTAAAGATTTCATTCAGGTTTTTTACCACAAAGTGGCACTGCCCCAAACCTTTTTGAGTATCTTCAGGGTGTGGTGTCAAAGACGCATACCAAGTTTTGTGATTTTACGACAAAATTAAAAATGGCCAACTCCCAAAATAGCTAATGTGGGGTATCATTTCACTCAGTTTGTCGCACCAAAATGAAAATTAACAGTTTTGTGATTTTTGGACAAATTGTTCAAAAATAATCATTTGTCATATATCCTGACCACTAGGTGGCGCTGTGCCGAAACTGTACAGGTATTCTCAAGTCATGGTTGTTATAACACACACTATGTTTGATCTCAATACACTAAAGCGTTGCGGTGATATAGCCTCACGTCCATTTTGGCATGCTCTTCGACAAATTTGTTTGCGCGTTATTCGAGAACGGTTTAACTAATCAACTTGAATTCCATAGCTTTTTGTCGGCATGGTCTGAAGATGATCCGAGTCAAATTTCCTGAAAATTGGAGCAACAGCCTAGGAGGAATTCAAAAAGAAAATGGCAGGAAAATTTTCATGATGGAAAATGACGTCATAGGGTGCCATCGAATCAGCATGAGCCGAGGAATTTTGTTTAAGGAATTTTGAATTTTTCAGAGAAATTTTGAAAAATATTTTTTGCTTTTGCTAGACTTTACGGTTCAAATTAGCATAAACACGAGTGCAAATTTGAGCTGTTGATGGCGCTATAGGGTTTGAGACTCCAAATTTGCTATGGTTAATGTTGAGACTGTCCTCTATCTGTGTGCCAAATTTCATCCCTTTCTCGCAAGCGGTTCTGTGGGCTGCCATAGACTCAAGAGCAGAGGAAGAAAACTAACGGATACAGTAAGTTCTCTGCCCCTAAAAAAAGTCGACCATTTACTATAGAAAGACTATTTAATTTGCAAATTTTCAGGTTGACTGCGAGACCCCGTTTAAAGCCAAATAACTTGCACAAACACACCCGCTGCCCACAGATCAGCTCATTTATTGACTAAATCTAAACACTAAAACTTTGTTTCCCCTGATTTGGGGTTTGAACAGCTGTATATGGGTATAAAAACACGACAGATGTGTTTCTAAAGAAAAATCCTTCGAGGAGTGCGTGAACTACTAAAACATTCCCCTTACACGTTCATAACACGAGACAGGATCCGTCACGGTTAATAGAATCGACTCGAGATGAACACAAGCCTATAGGATATAATGAATCACAAATATACGTCAGGAACACGTCCATTCCAGTGTCCGGCTCTCGGGTGTTTGGTGTCCCGCGTGGGTTTCTCCGTCCCAGTCTGCTCGAGGTATTTGCTCGTCCGGGATCATCCAGAGAGGGACGTGTGTGTTAAGGCAGGTAAGGTGTGGTGTGGCGGGAGCGTGACTCAGTGCGGTTGGGCCCAGTTGCCGGCGGGGCTCTTGGGCTTGGTTTGGTCCCA